CTATGGGCCTTGATTGCTCATGATATTTCTAGCGCTCGTATCGTCAGGCTTGGCACGCCCGGGTACTTAGAGAAGCGTCTGTTGTCCGAGCCATGCAGTGCTCGCCCGTCAGATTCTAGATGGAGTCAGTCGCGTAAACTCGAGGACCGTGGCTTTTAGGCTCAGTGTTCCCAGCCTCATTCGCTTTCGCCTTTTCTGCTCCCGGTCTCACCGTCTCTCTCCGTCATTTTCAGAATGGGCAACGCTTGCTCTGAGTCCCCTGTGGTGGGTGCAGAGGTGGCGATTCAGCGGGGCCTTCCTCCCGTGAAGAAGGCGACGGGCCCAAGTGTGGCAATCGTCTACTATTCCACCTATGGCCACGTGAAGGTCATGGCAGACGAGATCAAGAAGGGTTTGGAGTCCACGGGTGTCAGTGTAGACCTTTTCCAGGTCCCAGAAACCCTGCCTGCCTCGGCTCTTCAAGCCATGGGGGCCCCGGACAAGCCTGCAGATGTCATGCTGCTGGAGCGTGCGTTCCTCTCCGAGCTGCCGAAGTATGATGGCTTCATGTTCGGCATGCCCACTCGCTTCGGCATGATGGCTTCGCAGATGAAGGCCTTCTTTGACGGAACTGGGAGCCTCTGGCAGAATGGGGCCTTGGCAGGAAAGCTGGGTGCCACCTTCGTGAGCACCGGCACGCAGCAAGGGGGACAGGAGACTACACACTTTACAGCCGTCACACAGCTTGTCCACCATGGTATGTGCTATGTTCCCTTGGGGTACCAGGCCGGCGGCGAGGGCCAGTTCGACCTCAGCGAGATCCACGGCGGATCTCCTTGGGGTGCCAGCACTTTGGCCGGCGCGGACGGCAGCCGGCAGCCATCGGCACTGGAGCTGAAGATCGCTAAGAGGCAGGGGGAAGTCTTCGGTACTGCCGTGAAGCGCACGACTGCGCCAGCAGCATCCAAGAAGGCGAAGGTCTGCATCGTCTACTACAGCATGTACGGTCACGTCAAGAAGCTGGCTGATGAGATCGCTGCCTCTATGAAAGAGGAGGGCGTGAGTGTGGACATGTTTCAAGCACCGGAGCTTCTGGGTGCTGACGTGCTCAAAAAGATGGGAGCTCCTGCAAAGCCCTCGGACACTGTCATGGATCATGCGAAGGTCCAGCAGCTGGCAGACTACGACGGCCTGATGTTTGGGATCCCCACCCGCTTCGGGAGTGCGTCAGCCCAGATGAAGGCTTTCTTCGACAGCACTGGCTCACTGTGGCAGAGCGGCGCACTTGCAGGGAAACTGACGGGAAGCTTCTGTAGCACCGGCACCTTGAACGGTGGCCAGGAGTCCACCCACATGACCACGATGACCAACATGGTGCATCACGGCATGATCTATGTACCCTTAGGCTACCAGGCGGGTGGCGATGGTCAGTTTGACATGACGGAGATTCACGGAGGCTCGCCCTGGGGTGCCAGCACATTTGCTGGGGCCGACGGCAGCCGCCAGGCCAGCGTCACGGAGCTGAAGATAGCACGCCGCCAAGGAAAGGTCTTTGCGTCCA